ATGACTAAAGGTTTTGCATCTATAATATATAATGAACTTCTACAAACTATTAAAGTAGTCATCAGGTCAATGCAAATAAAAAATTAAATGAGATACAACTACACAAATGCTGGTATGAGTAAAATGGTAAAGCCCAACAATAACATATATTGGCAAAGTGATAAAGCAAGAGGAACTTTTGCACACTGCTGGTAAGAGTGTATTTTGATACAATCATTTTGGAAAACTATTTGGCAGTATGTACTAAAGTTGAACATAGGCATACTCTATGATGCTGCTATTCCACTGCTAAATATATACTCAAAAGAAATTCACATTTATGTATATCCAGAGACATGTATAAGTATGTTAATGACAGGACTATTTTTAAGAGCACCAATTTTAAAACAATGTAAATATTCATCAACAGTAGAAAGGATAAATTTTAATAAATGTAGCCAATGGAATACTAGAGAGCAATAAAATTAAGCTAAGAGAAGAAATTTATTTCAAAGAATTTTAAAAGAATTTAAAAGCAATGAAATATGCTTTATAATATTATATGATTGAATTTAAAATATTATCTAATTACATACGTATTATATAGTATATATAATATTCTCTGTTCTTGTACAATGTAACTGTACAATGTATATGTTTACAACAATTACAATTACATACATTTCAAGGATAGGTAGGAGTAATTCATCATTTGAGAAACCAGAATAATAGACCCATTTCTAAATAAAAATGGAGTTACTGAGTGACGCATAATATGAGATGTCCAGTTGAAGATATATTTTTTCTTTTGGATGTTCAAAACTAATTGTTTTGTTTTGGGGTTTTATTTTTTATTTTTACCTTTGAAGTCCAAATTAGAATAAGTGAATTGAGCAGGAGCAGTGATAAAATACTAGCCACCACCCATATTTGGCAATAAATATTTTAAAAGAAAAATCTTAGAAATTAGTTGTCTGTTTTGTGCTTTGAAAAGCTCCAACACATTTCTGGGAATCTAGAAGACCACATACATTGGCTTAAAAAAGATCTAAGAAAAACCTAATCTCTCTGTTCTGGCTGTCCTTGAGGTCTACACATGCCAGAGATAAAATGTACAGTTAGAAACTAACATAGCATTGAAAGTGCCAACACATGTATAGAGCCACTTGCTAAAGTGTGGAGGTTTATTAATTCAAGGCACTTAAGGAAATCTCTATTTCATCATTAGCTGACCACTAAGCTATCCAAGCACAGACTTCAGTGCCGCAATCAATAAAGAACACAGACTTTATAGAATTTTATATTTTTATTTACAGAATTAATGTAGTAAAGTCACTAAATAAACAACAACAAACCATGGAGCAAGACATCTGATTTCCAGAGTTGCCACATTATATTATTTAAAATGTCTAATTTTCATAAAAACAATTAGACATGCAAAGAAACAGAAATGTATAAACCATATACTAAAAACAAAATTAATAGAGATTGTCCCTGAGGAAACCCAAATGTTGAATGTACTGGGCAGAGCTTTAAATCAGCTGTTATAAACATAGTCAAAGGACTCAAAGAAACAATGTCTAAGAATTAAAGGAAAACAGGAGAGTGCTATCTCACCAAATAGAGTGTCAGCAAAAAGGTAGTAATCATAAAAAAGAACCAAATGGATAATCTAGAGTTTAAAAGCTCAATAAATGAAATGGAAATTCACTAGAGGACTCAACAGCAGGTTGGAATTGGGAGAAAAAAATAATGAGAACATTTGAAGAAGATCATTTGACATAATTTAGGCTACAGAACAGAAATTTTAAAATAATGAACAAAATGAACAGAGCTTCAGACCTCTAGAATACAGTTAAGGGTACTACAATAATACATATAATGAGAGTCTCAGAAGGAGAGGAGAGAGCAACGGCAGAAAGTAATTGTAAAAAATGGTTAAAACTTTTCAAATTTTATGACAAACATACAATAAGCTCAACAAACTCCAAGTAGGAAAAATTAAATGACATCCACACCTAGACTTATCACAATCAAACTGTTAAATACAGAAGGAGAATCTTAACAGCAGCAAGATCTCTCCCAAGATAAAAGGGATTCTCGATAAGATGAACAGCTGACTTCTAATCAAAAACCATGGAGGTCAGAATGCAATGAGATGACATACTCAAAGCATTAAAAGAAAAAGAACTGTCAACCCAGAAACCTGTAACAAAAATATCCTTCAAAATAAAGACAAAATTAAGATATTCCTAGATAAACAAAAACTGAGAGAATTCATCACTAGCAGAAATGCCCTATAAGAAGAACTAAAGAGAGTACTGTAGGCTAAAATAAAAGGACAATAGACAGTAACTCAAATCCATACAAAGAAATAAAGAGCACCAGTAAAAATAACTACAGTGGTAAATACAAAATATAGTACAAATGTATTTTTGTTTGCAACTCTTTTGTTATGCTATTTGATTTAAAAGCTAACTGCAAAAAGCCATAATTATAAAATTGTGTTGATTGAATTATAGTGTATATAAAGTAATTTGTATGACAAGAATAGCACAAAGAAGTGAGATGAGGTAAAGCACTATTTTAGAGCAAAATTTGTATATACTATTTAATTAAAATTAAGTTGGTATTAATGTTGATTGAATGGTTTTAAGTTAAGATGCTAATCATAATGTTCAGGGAAATCATTAAGAAAATAATTTTAAAATATATGGTAAACAGAAACATGGGAATTAAAATTGGAAACTAATAATTTTCTACTTAGAAAAAAATATGATGATTTCTTAGATGTGTTCTCTTCTAAAAGTCTTATAATTATTCATTTACCTTGATTCAATTAGAGTTCATTTTTTTTACAAAGGATAAGGTCTAAGTTGAAGTTAATATTTTGCTGTTGATGTCCCATTATTCCAGCATCTCTTGGTGAAAGACTATGCTTTTCTTGAATTGATTTGGCTCCTTAATCAAAAAGAAGTTGTACATGCATGATTATATTTCTCAAATTTCTATTCTGTTTCATTACTTTATATGTTTATTCCTACACCAATACTACATTGTCTTAATTAGTATAGCTTCATAGTAAGTCTTCAAATCAGGTAGTGAAATTCTACCAACTCTATTCTTGTTTCTCAAAATAGTATTAACTATTCTAGTTCTTTGCATTTCATAAAATTTTAACAAGCTTTTCTATATCTACAAATAATAATACTTTTTTTTTGAGACAGAGTCTCACTCTGTTGCCCAGGCTAGAGTGAGTGCCATGACATCAGCCTAGCTCACAGCAACCTCAATCTCCTGGGCTCAAGCAATCCTACTGCCTCAGCCTCCCAAGTAGCTGGGACTACAGGCATGCACCACCATGCCCGGCTAATTTTTTGTATATATATTTTTAGTTGGTCAGTTAATTTCTTTCTATTTTTAGTAGAGACAGGGTCTCGCTAAGGCTGTTTTCAAACTCCTGACCTTGAGCAATCTACCTACCTCGGCCTCCCAGAGTGCTAGGATTACAGGCGTGAGCCACCACACCCAGCCAATAGTGACAATTTTAAGAAGATTTTTTTCTTAAAGACTCTTTCTGCAGAGACTAACATACATATAAGTTTCAGCATTTTGATGCAGAAAGGATTAAAAATTAGAAAGGGCTCAAAGAATCAATCAACTAAAGATTAAGACCTAGTTTTGTCACTTATTTTAGCTACATGACTTTGAACAAATAATTTCTCCAACTTTAAATTTCTCTATCTGGAAAGTGAGCATGTTGTAATAGGCTCATAAAAAAATAGAGCTCCTTTTATAATAAAATCACTTTAAATAATATCTGTAAATGGATGGTAATCAACAATCCCTCATACCAATGCTGGGGTCTACAACAAGGAACATTAAGCTTGTATCAAAATGTTTGTGAAAATATCATGAAAGTGAGTTAAATGTACTGAAGAAAATGGATTATGATTAGAAAGTAAAGAGCGGCAAACCAGGCATGGAGTATGGCAGATTATTTACTATTAGCATGAGAATATTTGCATAAGGCTACCTGCTACTGCATTTTATTGAGTTGAAAATACCATTGATTTCTACAGCACCATCAACTTTATATTCCACAATGAAATAAAAAATGGCTATAAATTATAAATTGTAAGACACCATACAACTTTTAGATATTAAAATGTGGAAACAATGTGCATCTTAGAATTAATGAAAGATCAGTCAGCATTTTTTCAGGAAAAAGGAAAAAAAAGTAGAATTAATGAAAGAGTACAATTCTGTCAAGCCTGGCCTTATAGAGAATCAGAAAAATTAAAATCCTAGCTTTGCCACAGATAAGTTGCATGACCTTTGGAAAGTTATGTGATCGCTCCATGAAAATAAGGTGAAGTTAATAGGCTTAAATTTAGATGTAATGAGTGATTTGAGTTATTACCTCTTACCAGCTATGTATCCTTCAGTATTTTATTTAACCTAAGCCTGTTTGCATATTCTTTAAAAAACACCTGTAAGTGGTAATTTTAGGTTTGTTTTTAAGAATCAAAAAAATATTCATATAAAGAACTAAACACAGTGTCAGATATATGGTAACCTGTCAATAAATATTATATATTAGATTTTCATCTTAGAAATTAAGCATTTTGGTCTTTATATTATTTTGATAATCAGCATTATTTATTTTAACCCATCCCAAAAATAATTGAGTAGTGAAGTTTCTGAAAAAAGAGTTTGAAAATCTAAGAACTTTGAGATTACACTTTTCATATTTTATCTGAAATGTTTTCCTCTATTTACGTACTATTATTAGTATAAATTTTGAAGCCATCAATGACTGTCTTTTGCCTGGCAAACAACAGAATTGGCCAATCTGATAACTATTGTTTTAATAAACAATGTTCTTATATGTATATTCTGCTATCATGAAAAGGAAGGAAGGAAGGAAGGAAGGAAGGAAGGAAGGAAGGAAGGAAGGAAGGAAGGAAGGAAGGAAGGAAAGGAGGGAGGGAGGGAGGGAGGGAGGGAGGGAGGGAGGAAGGGGAAAAATCAAATAAAGACATCAAAGGCACAATGGGGTCAGAACATATTACAATAAGGTATTGTGGATTTGTCGTTGGGAAAATGAACTTCATTTGGAGGAGACACTTTCTCAGCATGGCCACTGCAAGAGAAATAATAACAAACATTTTACATTCTAGTTTGAAAATGTAGTAAATGGAATGAAGCTCACATAGCTACTAGCTACCAAAAAATCAGCTATATCCACTGCGGAATCATATTTTAAATTTAAGAGCTTTTATTTTTCAAAGTCAGCTATGGTAGAATATATTACCAGTCACTATTGATAAATTTTTTCAAAGAGTATTAATTGCTATCAAAATGTTCATCATTTATTATATATGATAGATCCAACTATTCACTTAATTATTTATTTTGATTAACCTTATATTCTCTGGGTAGGAATAGTTTTAAGAAGAAGTTGAAACTATTTGGCTATGTGTCCATACAAAAGCAGCAGCTCAGCTTCTTTTTCATTGTGGTAGATTTTTATACCAGCCAACACCAAATGTGTTACACTTTCCAAAATTCATGACCTACTTTTGTCCCCTCCCACATTGACTCTGGCTATGGACATATAACTTGCTCTGGCCTATGGGATATTGGCAAATGTGGAACAAGCAGAGGCTTACTAAGTGCTTGTGCCTGGAGCTTCTCGTCTTGGAATGCTGCCTCTACCATATAGAGAGGAGTAGCCTTGAATCAATCCTCAAGGTGAACATACCTACATGACTGAGTCAACAAGAAACCAGTAGAAGAACCATTCAAATAAACCACAGGATCATCAAAAATAATAAATTACTATTTTAAACTACCAGGTTTTGAACTTTTTTGTATGAAGCAATAGATTACTGGTATAAAATTCAGTACTGGATATGGGGACAAAACAGAACATGTGACATTAGTTTTGAGACTGGGCAGTGGGCAGACACTGCAAAGACAAGAAGACGACTGTGGTAGCTGAAAGAGCCAAAAGGAACCAATGCTAGAGACTGAAAGCATTCTGCAATAGCAAGCATAACAATTGGCAAAACCATTGCCTACAATAACTCTAATATATAAAATGGTCCTAATAAACTTGAGGATTTAGCTTGATTGTACAAGCAGAATGTAGTGTACTATTTTAACTACAGTTTGGGCAAGGGATTTTGAAAGCTGCACAAATAGAACGAATTCTGGCCCCACATCCTCCTCATGCCACACTTGTGGTTAAGAATTCTTAAGACGCAGTTTTTTATACTCCACCAGAACAAATTCAAGACAGGCAACTATTGTAAGTGCACCTTTTTGTGATGTGTTTTTGTTTTTTGTGGTTCACCCAAGGAAGGTATCACCTTTGGATATCCTGGATTTAGGAAAGGCTTTACCTGTCTAACCCCTTCCAAAGGTATGCCTGTGTTTCTCTCCACACCCAGGTTACAGAGGATAAACAGACGTTTCCAGAATGAATTATATTTAAGTGATACCTTACTTTCCAATTTCACATCTTATTCTTATATATAATCTCTGCAATTTTTCCTCTTACTTTCTCCTTCATTGTTTATGAATTTATTCAGGGAAGAATCATTTTTGTAGGATCTAAATCTATGTACTTTGGGGGAGGCTCTTTAAGAAAAAAATACAAAATGATAAATAAAATTTTGCTAGGGCTTTAGAAGGGGCCTTGAAACTTAAGCTTTAATTAACTTTAGTGTAAATCACCCTCTGGTTTACATTTTTAAAAATATTTCATTCATAAATTTTAGCTTATACATGAAGATGATTTCTCTAAGCATTTGATGCACCATTTTGCTGGAAATGAAAGTATAATTACTGTTGAGTCTACACTTTCCTTGTTTGGTTGTAGCTCCATGAGCACAGCAATGGGCTCTCTAGTTCACTGCTACATACTCAGCACTAGAAACTGGAAGCTCAGTAAATATTTGTTGAATAAACAGTTGTCAAATTAGTTGGATTTATTTTATTGGTCAGATATATCCAGATAAAAAAATTGAAATGAAAAATTAGGGATAATAATGTACCTTTGGGTTATTGAATAAATTAATTTTTCCTTTGCTCATTTTAAACCAGTGTAGGATTAAATGAACAAAGGAAAAATTAATTTATTCAGTAACCCAAAGGTACATTATTATTATTTGCCTACTAGAAAGTTGGCAGATTTGAGTCTAGAGGCAATTCATTTGAAAACCAAATTGTTCTATAGGGGTCACCCTTAAGTTCTTGGAACTATTGAAGTCAGTCAATGATATACTCTCTCAACATATTTCCAATCCACATTCTTTCTTTCATGTGATAAGAGTCAGAGCTCTTGAGAGTCAATAAGAATGTGCAAAGTTGTTTTGTAGAGGAAAATTGGCTTTATAGATATGCCTGCTATGCACATCACATCCATGTCAAAGCAAGTTGGCCCTTTGTTCAAATAGGAGTAAGAAGTCAGGTTTTAGAGTTATAGAAGAATGATAACATCATCTTGTCACATCTGATGGCTAAAGTTGTTGAGGGCACTTGTCAAAGACTACCTTAAATATGGATATATAAAAATTACAGTTTCATGAGGTAGTAAGTATCCACTCATCCATATTTGGTAAATTCTATTTTTATAATAAATTAAACATGGGTCATGGGAAGTTATTCATAAGAACAGTCATATTATTCAAGGCCCCAGAGAGATGCTTTGAGTACAATTTAATGATACGATTCAATGCTCTGCCATCAACTTTCATAAGAGGTCAAAAAAAATTCTAAATTTGAACAGTGTTTTTTCCTTTGTACAAACAAAAATGAAAACATTATCAATTGTACAGGCTGTCCCTTTATACATAGATCTCCATAACATATGTCTTATGAGATTTATTTTTAAGAAATAATTTGCCCCTGCAGGGGGAATTTTTATGCTTCTTATATTAGACGGGAATATTACTTAGCTCATTATGTTTCTTTTTTTTTTTTTTTTTACCTTAGCTTCCAGAAAACTAAACCAAAGTGTATGCCCAGCAGTAGTAATGAGGTCATATAAGAAATCTGGTGACATAAACTCCTTATGTTTCTCAAAGCTTGTCTCTTCTTTTTGTTATTCTGTTATCGAACTTAACATAATTTAAAACTGTGCTTTCCACGTCTAAATCAATTGAAACTAGATGAGTTGAAATAAAAAATAATATACATTTTTAAGGAACTATATTAAGCATTGTATCATTCCATAAACATAGAGGGAATGTGATCTATCAATTAAAATTACCCTAACGTAATTCAACTATACAACTCAGATACTTATTATATAAATATTACGTATCTATCGATTTTTTCTAAAATATTTAATGAGTACCTACATCAGGCCTATGTGAGAAAGACTATGCCAGATATTGTGGTGGAAAAATAAAGTATAAAGATACTATGTAATCCCTTAAACTAAAATCTAGTTGGACAGATAGCAATCTAAAATTTAAGGAACACCAGAGGTATACAACTGTCAGCAAAAGGTTCAGGGTGTTCCAGGAATGAGAGCATTAATTCAGCTCTCTATAGGGTGATTATTATCTCGTCCCCATCGAGATATATGCCTGGCAGTGTAACTGATCCTACAATCAACAGATAATGGTTTTACTGACTTGTATCTTTATCTTTTCAGTATGTTTTAGAATTGTTCTAATAATAGAGCCAGTTAGGCCTAGAACACTAGCTTAATAAATGTGTATTGAATTAAAAGCTTGTTTGAAAGAACATAGTAGAATAAACAAACCAAATGGATTGGAAGAGACAATCAAACTGTGGCAAGCATAACATGAGACATTGGCTCTCAATGAGGAAGAAAACAGAAAGACTAGTGTTTACTTTGACATATGGTACTTTGATTAGAGTTATAACAAATCATCTCAATACCAGGCAGCACATGATGCAAGCTGTATGACAGTGCATATTGATATTTATTGTAGTTTATTAGTTTATATCCCCATCTTCCACTGCTAGAAATGTAAGGAGAGTATTTGCTCACTTAGTGAGCAAGTATCCCTAGCACCTAGAACAGCACCAGACACATTGTTGACAAATGTTCATGGAAACAATTACATATTAAAGGATTGATACAAAGAGTAAATTATGTAGCAGTTTGGAAGAAAAGGAGATCCTTCTATGCTTTCTTCTAACATTCTCCTATATTCTCCTAATATAGACTAAGATTTGAGTACAAGTTTCTTTGGGCAATTATCACAAGAAGTGCTGCTAAGGTGGCAGAAAAATGAGATAGGAAAAGAGGGAAGCCAACATGGGTATGTTGTCTACTATGTTCCCATAGCAGGTTACCACTGTGAGTAATTGGGGAGCTCTGAGAGAGGCTACAGTATAACTTGGAATTATTCCATCTGAAAGGTAAGAGAGATTAAATGTCTACCCTCCAACTTCCATCTGTCGTTGGCTAAGGGTGCTGAGAATATTAACCACCACCTCTCCCAGGACTCCTTTCCTGACCCAGGACTGACAGAGAGGCCTCAGACAAAGGCACTTGAACTAAAATGCAGTAGGCATATACTGGAATAATAAGTGCAAAGAAGTTATGGATAAGGCATCAATGGCATTTACTAAAAATGCTAATAAAATGAAGGAGTTAAAAGTTGAAGTTGAAGTTAGCTATTTGACTTGAGTCTCATTGAAAAATGAAGATGGAAAAAAATGGAAAGAAGAAGAAAACAAGAGACATACCACAAGCAAGACATATTTAGTTTATTAGAGAGAAAACCAAACCCAAAAGAGTGGAGGACTGTGAGAAATGAGATTTAAAGATCCATTTTTCCATATCACAGGGGTCTTAAGTTTCACTGAAGACTTCGGACTTTCTTCTGCAAACAATGGAGAACACTAGAATATTTTTTAACAAGAATAATATGAAGAAACAGTATAACATAAAGATTAATTTGTCATCTGTAAGTAGGAAAAGATGGAATATTGTGATCTTGAAATGTTGATCAAATGATATTATAATTCAGGCTTGAGGAGCCTGGATTGGGGTGGTGGAAAACAACAAAAAGGTACATAAGACATAACGGATTATGTACACAAAGAACAGGAAAGAAGGAGGAGCCCAAGGTTGCCGGAATTCACATCAGTAGG